AAATCCTCCATCTGAACCATAGCTAAGCTTTATCCAGAAAAGTCTCTAGGTTTGTCAGTATGAATATTCTATGGAAAAAGCCGCTAAAAGGGTCTGAAAGTTGCTAAATCTAGTGCTAAAGTCGCGCTCGTGTGTGTGAGACGCGGGAGCTGATGGCAGGAGGCGGTGGATATTTGTGGTGGTCAGTGTGGATATTGTGGATGAGTTCTTCTGTGTCATCACGTTCTATTAGTTCTACAGCTTCAGTTTCTGAACTTTCACGCTTAGTAACACATACAGCTGTTCCCTCACCACAGTGCAGCAGTGAAAAGAGACCCCTTTCAAACAGTGTCACGTTCCCAAAGTTGTTTAAGTGACATACACCAGTATTGCGGTATTTTAAAAATTCATATCATAACAAAAATAAACGGTATGAACCGGTATACCGCCCAGCACTACTGATGCATATGTTTAATTTGAATAATCTTCATGAGGTAATATGAGGCCTTTCTGTGTTATAAAGTCTGTAGAATGTGAGGAGACTGCGGCGAGGGTGTTGGAGTACCTTGTCCCGGCGGTGTGATGGTGATGGTCTGTCCTGTGAACTCCTCGTCGAAATATCTGGTGTCTGTCTCTGAGGTCGACTGCGGTTTGAACGGAGGAACCAGCTGAGGGACACAGAGAAACAGTTAGACGACCCTCATCCAGCATTTACACAACACTTCTGCGCAAACTCAAATGTAACCCTGGACCACAAAACCAGTCATAAGGGTCCATTTTCAGAAATTGAGATTTTTTTAGTTTTACTTTTAATTCTTAAGAACATTAAAAATGTAGTACTTTTTAAGTAAAACTTTGAATTTTACTTGAGGACAAGTAAGAAAGTACTAGATTTCTAATGTGATTAAGTGTTAAATGGTAGTTAATGTGAAGCGTAGTGCAGTAAAAAGTACAATATTGTGTTTTGGAATGTTGTGAAGTAAAAGTGTTCTAAAGAAAAACTCTGATAAAGTCCAGACACATGAAAAGTACTTTTAGCGCAGAGTAAAAATACTTCACTGCTGTCCAGCTCTCGGGCTTGAAAACACACTGAAGGCCATTGAGAAAGTTCATGCAGCTACATTATATCGACTCTCACAAATGGACATTTGGTCGTGAGTTTCAAATGGTCATAAGGGTCAATTTTTCAAAATTGAGATTTATGCATCATCTGAAAGCTGAATAAATAATCTTTCCATTGATGTATGGTTTGTTAGGATCGGACAATATTTGAAAATCTGGAATCTGAGGGTGCAAAAAAATTAAACTCTTTAAAGTTGTCCAAATGAAGTTCTTAGCAATGCATATTACTCATCAAAAATTAAGTTTTGATATATTTACAGTAGGAAATTTACAAAGTATCTTCATGGAGCATGATCTTTATTTAATATCGTGTAATAATGTATAATTGTGACCCATACACGACCGCACATCATCTCATACATCACCACACCCAAACCCCACCAGTCCACCGCACGACCGTAGTCATTATCCTCCAGCACCTGCACACACACACACACACACACACACACACACACACAGACACACTGCAGCTCTAACAGGTTTTTGTCATTTGTTGCAAAAGTGAATTAATACAAAGTGTTGTGTTATAAATGTAAATACATTTCTAAAAAATGTGTGTGTGTATATATATATATATATATATATATATATATATAAACTTTGCACGATTTATGATGCTGAGGGAAACACCAATTAATTAGACATGCTTTTTGTTTATTAAAATTCTATTAAACCATTAAAATTGATAAAATTTAAAATGGAAAACAGAATTTGGTAAAAAATAAAACAGAATTTGGACATAAAATAAAATATATTTCAAATTTAGTTAAACGTTTAACAAACTGTTGTTAAATTGTTAAAATTTTTTAAAGTAAAATAGTTTAAACAAATTAAAGAAAAATGAAAACAATTAAAAAATTGAATTTGAAAATAAAACATAAAACATAAAAAACAAAATATAAAACATAAAAAAAATTACAGTGGGCCTTAAAAATTAAATTAAACTTTTAATAAACTGTTGTTTAATTGTTCATGATTATAATTCAATAGACTTTTTTTTTCTTTTCTTTTTTTTACAATTAAAACCAAAAAATCCAGTCCAGAAAAATTTAAATGGAAGAAAAACGGTAATACTTTACAACACGTTTTCATTTGTTAACATTAATGTATTAACTAACATGAACAAACCATAACCAATACATTTATTACAGTATTTATTAATCTTTGTTAGCGTTAGTTAACTAATGAAACCTTATTGTAAAGTGTTAGGTAACTTACAAAAACTTAAAAACCCAGGAATTTGGGGAAAAAATAAAACCGATTTCATATAGGGCTCTAAAACATTTTTGTTAAACTTTTAGTACATTTTTAAAATAGTTACATTGTTCACGACTTCAGTTAATTAAATTACTCAAAATTTTATGTAACCATAAAAACAGAGTCCAGAAAAAATACAAATGAGAGAAAAAAAATGGAATTTAGAAAAATTTAAATGGAAAAACGGAACTTGGGGAAAAATATATATATCATAGCACTCTAAAAATTACATTTTTGTTAAACTTTTAATAAACTGTTGTTACATTGTTCATGACTTCAGTTAATTAGACATGCTTTTTGATTGCTAAAATTGAAATGTAACCATTAAAACTGAGTCCAGAAAAATCTAACAAATGAAGGCGACCGCAGGGCCGTGTTGATGGTGTTTGAAATGAAGGCGGGTGTGTTTGTGTGAGTCACGGGAGAGAGTGACTCAGTGGTAAGGTGACGCCGCGGAGCTCAGCGCTGTCTATTTCCAGAGCCGCGGTCATGTGACTCGACAGCTGGACCTGCAGCTGAAGACCAGCACTGTTACATTGTTCACGACTTCAGTTAATTAAATTACTCAAAATTTTATGTAACCATAAAAACAGAGTCCAGAAAAAATTAAAATGAGAGAAAAAAAATGGAATTTAGAAAAATTTAAATGGAAAAACGGAACTTGGGGAAAAATATATATATCATAGCGCTCTAAAAATTACATTTTTGTTAAACTTTTAATAAACTGTTGTTACATTGTTCATGACTTCAGTTAATTAGACATGCTTTTTGATTGCTTAAATTGAAATGTAACCATTAAAACTGAGTCCAGAAAAATCTAACAAATGAAGGCGACCGCAGGGCCGTGTTGATGGTGTTTGAAATGAAGGCGGGTGTGTTTGTGTGAGTCACGGGAGAGAGTGACTCAGTGGTAAGGTGACGCCGCGGAGCTCAGCGCTGTCTATTTCCAGAGCCGCGGTCATGTGACTCGACAGCTGGACCTGCAGCTGAAGACCAGCACAGCTGTGAGACCCACGCCGCGCTTCAGCTGGAGCCAGTAACTCAGCTCATAACCCAACATTACCCACATCAGCCTTGTGCAGGTCTCCAGACGCTTTCTATCGGCCCGATGAGCTAAACCACAGCGTCACAGAACTCTATCTTTTTATATTTTACATTTTAATTTAAATGTGTTTTAGTTTTTTTTATATATATGTCTATATAGCTTTTCAGTTTTAGACATTTTAGTACTTCAGCTTAAACTTAAATGAAAATGAGGTATGTTGTATTGTTAACTGAAATAAAATACATTTAAATGTTTATAATAACATTTAGCAAAAAAAAAGTATAAATGTATTTTTTTCAAGTAATTGCTTATTAGAAATGGTATATATATATATATATGGTAAATTATATATTAAAAAGATTTAATAAAGTATTTTAAACTAGATTGAAAAGTTTGTAGACAAACTAAGTTGGCTTGAAAAAGGTTTTCAGTTTGAAGTAGTTTGAAAGTTAAAATAGTTTTAAAGATTAAAGTTTGAATGTTTTCAAGGCAATACAGTCTATCAGAAAAACAGATATGTAGATAACATTTTGCTAGGGTACCTGGGGTGGTTGCTAGGCTGTTTCTAGCATGAATAGCATGTTGCTAACACGTTTTTAGCATGATTAACATGTAACTAGCATGTTGCTAGCATTATTAGCATTTTTCTGGCATGATTAGCATGTTGCTAGCATTTTGCTAGCATGATTAGCATGTTACTAACATGTTTCTGCATGGTTGTTAGCATGGTTAGCATGTTTCTAGCATGATTAACATGTTACTACCATTTTGTTAACATGATTCTAGCATGATTAACATGTTACTAGCATGTTTCTGCATGGTTGTTAGCATGATTAGCAAGTTACTAGCATGATTAGCATGCAAGTTAATAACATGTTGCTAGCATGATTCTAGCATGATTAGCATAGTGTAAGCATTTTGTTAGCATGATTAGCAAGTTACTAGCATGTTGCTAGAATGATTCTAGCATGATTAGCATGTTACTAGCATGGTGTTAGCATTTTGTTAGCATGATTAGCAAGTTACTAGCATGTTGTTATCATTAATTAACAAGTTACTAACATGTTGCTAGAATGATTCTAGCATGATTAGCATGTTACTAGCATGTTTCTAGCATGATTAAAATGTTACTAGCATGGTGTTAGCATTTTGTTAGCATGATTAACAAGTTACTAGCATGTTTCTATCATGATTAGCATGTCACTCGCATGTTGTTAGCATTATTAGCATGTTACTAGCATGGTGTTAATATTTGTTAGCATTATTAACAAGTTACTAGTATTTTTCTAGCATGGTTAGCATGTTACTAGCATGTTGTTAACATAATTAACAAGTTACTAACATGTTGCTAGCATGATTCTAGCATGATTAACATATTACTAGCATGGTGTTAACATTTTGTTAGCATGATTATCAAGTTACTAGCATGTTTCTAGCATGATTATCAAGTTACTAGCATGTTTCTAGCATGATTATCAAGTTACTAGCATGTTTCTAGCATTATTAACAATGTTACTAGCATGTTGTTAGCATGATTAGCAATGTTACTAACATGGAGTTAACATGATTAGCATGTTGCTACCATGTTTCTAGCATGTTTAGCTAGTTGCTAGCATTTTTCTAGCATGATTAGCAAGTTACTAGCATGTTATTAAAAAGATTACCAAGTTACTAGCATGTTGTTAATATGATTCTAGCATTATTAACACGTTACTAGCACGATGCTAGCATGTTTCTAACATGTTTAGCAAGTTGCTAGCATTTTGTTAGCATGATTAGCAAGTTTACTAGCATGCTGCTAATGTAATTAAATGTATTTTTTTCAAGTAATTGCTTATTAGAAACGGTAATATATAAAAAAAATAATAAATCAAGTATTTTAAATAATAATAATTACATTCTTTAATTCCAGAAGTTGCAAGAACTGAATTTTATAGACATGCGTTTATTATTATAATTTTTATTATTTATATATATTTTTTTGCTAAGCAATCTCTCAACGCATATTCAATATAGAAATTTAAATGACTTTTTAAAGTCCCCCTGTAGTGAAAATCAAGTGTTTTATGTTGTTTATTTGTCTATGTGGTGTTTTTAATATGCTTTTAGAACCAGAAATACGGTTTGCTACGTCACAAACCAATCACCAATCACGTCAAGGGATCGATTCCTATCACTAGCGTGCAAACTATACCAATACCAGCACAAAACCAAAAATAAATCAGAGCAAAAACCCATGAAGCTGTGGTTTAATGTGAATTTAGAAGCGCTAACTTGCATTATAACCCGCGGCAGCAGTGTAAAAGTATCCCGGACTTCACACGCGTACGCTCGCGGGCGCGAATTAACAATCACAAACGGCTGCATTCCAGTCTTCAAGGCATTTTAGGACAGAACATCGTCAAGTAAGTAACCTTAACGAATGTTACAGTATTCACTGCAGTTGTCCGCTAGTAAAAACATAGTATGCTATTTGTGACGAGTGGGGCGGGGCCGAGAGCCGCGGAGAAAATGCTAATGCGCGACACCTGCGCCACTCACCGGTCTCGAGTCCCACGGAGGAGCGCCGGGAGGATAAAAGGAGGAGTGACGACAGTGTTGGACGAGAGAGGACCAGGCTTGGATTTATTTTGTGTTTTGTGTGCGCGGTAGTCGTCCGCGAGGGGCTGCCGCTTTACTTCTATTTTGTGTTTGTTTATTTGATTAAAGTCTTTAAATGTTCGCTGGTTCCCGCCTCCTTCTTCCCGTGACTACGAACTTTGTTACACCATTGTTTTGCGTTTCCTACGGTTCAGTGGATCAGGAGGCGGGGCTGTGTGACTGAGTGGAGGCGGGGCTAATTTGCATATTCATAGATCCGCGTATAGTAAATGAGGCAAGGGTGTAGAGTTACATTCAAGCTATTTTAAGGCATGAGAAAATTATTTTCTCAAGAAAAAACATTTAAATGTCATTTTGATCAAAGATAAGTTTTAAGGGATAAAATATTTGACTACAGACGATTAATTTCTATGACACTTAAAGGTCTAGAAATCACACTTTTAAAATCCCCTCATTTAGCATATTGTTTTAGTATCACTGATATACTATTAAAGTTTTTGTTAATATTCTTATTTATTTTTATATATTCAGTTTTCACTTTAGTGATTTTGTTGTGTGTTCTTATCATTTTTTTTAATTTGTCCAAATAGCTTTTAATGATGTTTTTTAGACAAAAATGAGAAATGTTGCCTTGACAACTTGGTGAATTAAAATAAGTTTAAGCTTTTTATATTTAATTTAATGTTTATTTTATTTCAAGTAACACTTTTTCTTATAGTTTTAGTCTAGTAATGACAATAAAAGCTTGGCAGGAACCCTGTTTTTTTAAATAAAAGTTGTTGAGGTACCAAATTAATATAAGAAATATGGTGTCATTTTACATCTTGATTTTTAGCTATAAAACAAGCATATTTAGTTTTATTTTGAGTCATGTTACGCTGCTCTATAGAGAACATATAAAGCCATCATTACAGCATCAGTAACACACAGAAGTGCAGTCTGGTTAATAAAGTGCATTCCAGAGCTGCAGACGCACAACAAGCTCATTGTTTACAGCGGAACAACCTGTAACGCGACCCGGGCCCCACTCCAGAGGGGCCACCCGTCGCCATGGCAACACCCCCCCATCTCTCGACCCGGGCCCTGTTGTCATGTCAACATGGGGACTGAACAGAAGTTGCCGAGAATAAGTGAGAGAGAGAGAGGGACAGGCGACTGCTCTTTTGCATGCATTATTTTTAAGCGTGTATAAATATAATTATTTTATGTATAAATATATTTTTTATCTTATTTAGTCTTATTGTCATTTTAAATAATACTAATATTATTAATAATAACAAAAATTATACGAATAAATAATAGAAATGAAATTATCACATTAAATGTTTTATTTATATTTTTAAAATATATTTTTTGTTACAGATTTATTTATTTTTATATTTTTAAATAATACTGATATTATTTTCTTTTATATTTATGTGTCCTTTGCTGCTCTTTTGCATGTATTCGTTTTCAGAGTGTATAAATGTAATTAGTTTTATGTATAAATATTATTTCATATGTATTTTTATATTTTAGTAATTTATATTTTAAAACTAAAAATAATAAACTTTTTTTGTTATTTAAAATATTCCAATCATAATAATAATAATAACAAATATAAATAATAATAATAATAATAATAATATAAACTAATAATATAAAACATCAAATTAAATGTTTAATTTTTAATGCTTAATTTAACAAATTTATTTAAATATATTTATTTGTTTTTATTTTTAGGTCTTATTGCTGTTTTTAATAATACTAATATTATTTATTTATTTACATTTAATGTCTTTTAGATTTATTTGTCCTATGATGAGTTTGTGGACCTCCAAACATCACTAAAGCATTATAACAGCAGCTCATGTGACTTCTGAAGGCATTTGATGGTTTGTGTGAGCTGCTGTTATGATGCCTTCATGCTCGTTATTTAGACATTTTGGGAGCTTTTACAGAGGAGATACTGCTAAACATCTTTGGTGTTTGACATAAAAAAATAAAGCTTTAAATGATGACAGAATTAGTCATTTTTGGGCAATTTATCACGAACCATTTGTCACTGTTTAAGTGAACATTCATGGAAATGTTCAGGTTATATTTCACCAAATCCAAATGGAAGCAAGTAAACAAACAAACAAACAAATAAAAATTTATTTTAAACATCAAGAATTATATTATAGAAAATATTGTTTATTTTCAGGACATTTAAGTGTTGTTTTGTATTGTGGCATTATTTTTCAGCCTGTACAAACATTTTATTTTATTATTATTATTTTTTTTAATAATTTGTAAAATATATTTTTTAGTTTTATTGTATTTTATTAAAAACACAAATAATGATAATGTTAATAATAATAATAGCAACAACAATAATATATATATATATAATTATTATTATTTTTTATGTAAAAATATTCCAATATTTTCAAGGTTCTTTAATTATTTTCTCAGCTGAAACCCAACGAGGGACAATATTTACTTTAAGTTGATATTTTAATAATTTAACAACACATTTTAAAATTTAGCATCAATTTAAATGATGAATTATTTGAATTATTATTATTAAATTATCATGAAATTGTATTTGTTTACTTGCATGTGATGTGAGAAATAAACAGAAACTGGATAATTGTAAAACATGCCAATGTGTTGTTGAAGTATTAAAATATTTAATACAACTAAATATTAATTTTATAATATTAACTTAATATTAACCTACAGAAATACCTTGGGGGTTCTTCAAAAATATTGTTTATATTTAACAACAATTTAAATGATTGTGTAAATTATTAAATTAAAATGTTTATGATTTAATTAATTATTAGCTTATTCATTATCTCACAAACCTGCAGTTCCACTTTATAGGAACAGAATATTAAAATCTAATCTCATTCCAGACAATGTAAAAGACATGAGTATCGGGGAGTAACATGTCAAAAATCATTTTCAAATAAATTTCTCATTTTTACGTAAACATGAGATCTTAGATACATATCAGTCTGGTTTTAGGGCAGGTCATAGTACAGAGTCTGCACTCTTGAGAGTTGTTAATGATCTTAAGTAATGCTGCAGCTCTGATTTTATTACCTTTGATACAATAGACCTAGTGATTCTTATCAATCGGTTATCTCATTTGGTTGGAATACGTGGGATGGTTTTAACGTGGTGTAAGTCTTATCTTACTGACAGAGCTGAAGTATGGTAACTGTTTCAACAACTGTGCCTGTCACTTGTGGGGTTCCTCAGGGTTCTGTTATTGGCCCCATCTTATTTTCTTCGTATATGTTGCCTCTGGGTTCGATAAAAAAAAAAAAGGCATGTCTTACCATTTGTATGCCGATGATACACAGATTTATCTCCCTTTGAAATCAGTAGAGCATTGCCGTCGCTGGATGTCTCATAATTTGGTTCAGTTAAACCAAAGTAAAACTGAGATTATGCTTTTTGGCCCTGCCAGAGGATGCTTAGACATTGCCACATATTTAGGCACATGGTCAGACTATTGCCACGACCAAGTAAAAAATCTAGGTGTTGTGTTTGATCCAGAGCTGAAATTTGAAAAGCAGATTAATTACGTGGCTAAGAGTTGCATTTTGCAGATTAGGTCTATTGCTCGATTAAAGCCTATACTGTCGAGAAATGATTTAGAGAAGGTTATTAATGCCTTCGTTCTGTCTCGCCTTGACTATTGCAATGTTTTGTATGTGGGGTCCTGTCAGACCACTATATCACGTTTGCAATTAGTGCAGAATGCTGTGGCTCGGCTGCTGGTGGGTGCTAAGAAAAGTCATCATATATCTTCTATTTTGGCTTCTCTTAAGCGGCTACCAGTGGACATCAGGATAAAATATAAAATTCTGCTATGTTTTTAAAGCGGTGCATGGAATGGCTCCTGCTGATGTGTCAGAGCTGATTGCTCTTCACAAAGCACCTTGGTTTTTAAGATCAAGTAATAAGTCATTACTCGTTTAAATTTTGTGAACTTAGGGAAATCACTTCATTAAATGTTTTTAAAGCATGTGTTAAAGTTACTTTCTTTACTTAGCCTTTGAGAGGTTGGGCTAGTATTCAATGTATTACTAGGTTGTGTGTTTTTTATGTTTTTTATGCTGCTTGTACAGCACTTGCAGGTGCAGTTGTAAAGTGCTCTATGAATGAAGTTAATTAATTAATGTATGAATAAAACTAGCTACTACATACTAACCCTAAAGCCTTGAACTAAATCTTTTTTGCATTTATTGCACAATAAAACACACACACACACAGAGTCCCCAGCAGAGGGCAGAGTTTAGGCCGGTTCACAGGGAGATCGGGCCCCGTGGTCCCCTGATATCATGTGTTGTTGTGGGCAGCTGTGGGGTCAGCTGGAGCGCTGGTGACCCTTTTCTATATATTTTTAGTCTTATCTTTATTTTAAATAATACCAATATTATTGATTTATTTTATTTACTTACTTTTATATGCTTCTTTATTTACATTCTATTTACCTTTTTTTCCTTTTTTTATTGGTTTACATTTATTTACATACTTTTTATTTATTTATATTTTATTACTTTTTATTAGCTTTTTTATTTAGTTAACATTTATTTATATATTTACTATTTATTAATAATACAAAAATAATTTAAATAAAAATGTTTTTTTATGAATCTCATCAAAAACTACACTTTGAATAAGTGTCTATATTTGGCATCCCATAATTCCGTGTTTCCCATCCACCCATCTATCATAGCTAATAATTAAATAATATATATTTTTTTATTTAAATAAATAATTTAAAAAGAAAAAGTCACAATAAAACACTTAAAATCCAATAATTATAAGACATAAACAAATTTAAACTAAAAACAAATAAAAAACTTACAAAAAAAAACAGAAATATTTTATTTGTTTATCTACATGTCATTTGACCTTTAACCGAAATTACAAAATCATGTGAATATGTTGAATTATAGAAATATTAACTTAAAATCTCAGTCAATATTTCAGGTTAAAGGTGCTCGGCTGATGAAATAATTTGGGAATCGCTGCACTGGAGATTAAAGAGGTTCTTGATGATTCCTGACAGGTTCTTCAGATCAGAATACTGTACTGGTTTCTGTAAGGGGTTTGATGTGGTTTTTCTCACCTCAGGAGCCAGATACTCTGGAGTCCCACAGAAGGTCTTCATGGTGGCTCCGTCTGTGATTCCCTCCTTACACAAGCCAAAGTCAGTGATCTTTATGTGACCGTCTTTATCCAGCATCAGGTTTTCCAGCTGAGAGAGAAAACGATAGAAAAGAGAAAGAAAACATTCAACCTGTGATCATCTAATAAGGGTTTTTCACAACAGTGACTGTCACCTTTCATCATATTTCCTCCAAATACATCTCAGAAAAATACATTATACATTAATAAATAAATAAATAAAATAAAAAGTAAATATATAAAAAAGTAACTTAATGCAAAAGCTAATAAAACAGTATCTAAATAATATAAAATAAGCAAACAAAAAAGTAAATAAAACAAATAAATAAAAATAATTAAAAAATAATTAAATTAAAAAGCAATTGAAAAATAAATAAATAACAAAAGTAAATAAATAAAAAGTAAATAAAAATAAATAAATTTAAAAAGTAAATAAATGAACAGTGATTAAATAAATTAATTAATTAATTAGACATGTAAACTTTGTGGCATATATATCTAAACTCATGTTTGTTTGTTTTGTTTTTTGTAATATTTACTAAAAGGGGTCATATGATGTGATTTAAATTTTTCCTTTCTCTTTGGAGTGTTACAAGCTCTTGGTGCATAAAGAAGATCTGTAAAGTTGCAAAGACTAAAGTCTCAAATCCAAAGAGATATTCTTTATAAAAGTTAAGAGTCAGCCACGCCTACCTAAAACGGCTCGTTCTAACACGCCCCCACATATCTACGTTACAATGTGGGAAGATTTGCATAACGCTGCCCAAATTTTCACACAAAGAATGAAGGCGTAACTTTTATTCTCGCTGTAATATTGTTGCCACCGCTGCCATGTCGTGAAGGCGCTGTGTGCTTCGTTGTGAAAGCAAAACTACTTTGTTTGGTCTTCCAAAAGAGGACGATATCTGCTTCGTCATGTCTGGAGCTGATCCGTGCTGGTCGCTGAGGAAATACAACAACTTTGCACTGTGGATCGCCGTATCGGCTTTCACCGTGGACGAAGCGGAGTCCAGCCCGGGGTCGTCACATGTGGTTGCCGCTTCCTTCGTCAAATCCGCCGGCCGTTCTCAAGCCCCCGGCCTCTGCTCACTCTAGCCCTCCAGCCGTTCCTCACTCAAGCCCCCGGCCTCTGCTCACTCTAGCCCTCTGGCTGATCCTCAATCTAGCCCGCCGCCTCTGCTTACTCTAGCCCGCCGCCTCTGCTCACTCTAGCCCTCGGCCGTTCCTCACTCTAGCCCGCCGCCTCTGCTCACTCAAGCCCCCGGCCTCTGCTCACTCTAGCCCTCCGGCCGTTCCTCACTCTAGCCCCCGGCTTCTACTCACT